ATATCTTAAATTGCATTTTGGCTTTGTAGCAGAAACAAAACGATATTAGAAAAAGAAAGGTGCTAGAAAATACAATAACTTCAATTATAATTTTGTACAACATAAATGTTGAGATGAACGTGATCTAAGTGCACCATTAGTAATTAAATGAAAGACCATTGCCTAAGATCAATATATCAAAATGACAATAAATGAATGTATTCCATTTCAAGATTTCATATCTCAATAAAAAAATTATAATAAAAATGACCACATTGAATATTGAAATACACTAAGGGCTTGATTGTTTATGAAATAATTTACTCACATTTATTTCATACTCAAAATTTAACTCAACTGTAACTCAACACCACTATTTTTAATATTATTCATATAATTAAATAATACAAACCATCATTCTTACACATCACATCAACTTTAATTCATTATTCATCAACTCACATAATTTGAACTACCTATCATTTCCAATCATTTATCTCCTACTTTTACATCAAATCAATTTTAATCATTTCATTTTAAATATTATTTTAATATATTTTTAAAATTCCACTAACAACTAACTATAATACCTTTTTCAAAATTAACTATAATTAACCAAAATAACTCATTTTGAACAAATTATTTTGTAAACAATCAAGCTCTAAGTGATCATCTCTAAGAAGAATACACCAATTCCAAGACTTAGAAATGCTACTTGTACGGATAATTTTTGTTATGTGCTCCTCAGCGTATTTTTATTCACACGTGTGGAATTTTAATTTTTTCAATGAATATTTATTTCACTAATTTTTTGTGTATGGATTATTTTATAATTAATGTTATAACATGTTTTTTTCAATGATTTTAAAATGATAGTGTAGTCTAATTTGTAAAACTATAAAATATATTAGTATTGAAAACTTGTAAAAAAAGGTGAAAATATTTTGAGAATATTCTTTTCGATTAGAGAATAGATTTTTGGGTTGTTCACTCCTATACTACAATGGTTGGGGGGTTTATTTAAAAAAAAAAACAAGAAAATAAGTGGATAAAAAAAAAAAGTAAAAAACGGGTGGAAAAAAATAGAACGCACGTATTCCAGGAATACGTTTTTCTGAAATTTAATTTTTTCGAAAAACGTATTCAAGAAATACGGTTTTATTTAACACATTAGATTAAAAAATAAAGAAGAAAACGATTTAAAAAATGATTGTCGATAAAATAAAAAAATAGAAATAAAGCAAAACCGTATTCATGCAATACGTTTTTCGAAAAAATTAAATTTCATTAAAACGTATTCATGAAATACGTTGTGCAAAATATTATTTTATTTACGATTTAACACATCATACAACGTATTCGAGGAATACGTTTTATATTTAAATAATCAAAAACGTATTCCAGGAATACGTTTTCAAGCACAATATAATAAAAAAAACCACTTCTCCTCCTCCATTCGCGCAAGAGAGCAGCAAATCAAAACTCTCAAAACAGAGAGTGGAGATTGAAGAGTGAACTATAGCAAAAAAAAATAAATTGATCCAATCCTCAACGTGAATCGACAACAGCGAAACGAGCCTTATTTCCGGTCAATTTATTTGCACGAGGTATATTGGCTTATCTTAACTTTTTATATTTGTTTGGTGTTAATTGAAAATTGAGAATTGTTATAATATGTTTGAATTTGGTGGTGTTTGATGATTGAAATTGTTAATTGATTAACGATTATATGTGTATGTTGAATTGAAAATTAAAATTTTTTGTGTAAATTGTCAATTGTGTAATTGTTTGATTATTGTTGGGGTTAGGGTTTTTTCGAAATTAGGGTTAGGATTAGAGTTTCAATTTATTAGAATTGTAGATAATTTCTATGTTATTGTTCGATAAGGTATTATGATTTTGAAGGATTATTTGATTGAGATATTTTTTTTTTGGGTTTTTTGGTTGAAAGTGTATTATATGTTATTGATGGATTGTGAGTATTAGTATATGATAAAATATTTTGTGATTTTATTTTTAACAGGTATAAATGGCGCCTACCGGACCATACTTTGTTAATGTGTATTGGAATTTTCCGAAACAGGTGCTAGATTGTTTTTCAGATTTTATAAACCATCCGGATGGTTCATTTAGCATTGGGGAGAATATATCATTTCAACAATTTGTAGATATACTGATGCAGCAACGTGGTAGACGAAAGGAATGTAAGAGAAAACTCAAGAGTTCTTAATTTTATTCAATGTTCATCGATCAAATTTCATAAGAGAGGGACAATATATAGAGTCCTATGAAAGAGAATCCTAATTCTAATTATCTTGTGCAACAAGATAACTATCTTATTTATTCCTAAATAATAAAACACTCCTAAGGAAATAAAATATCTCTTCCTAAATAATAATAGGAAATATAATATGTAGAATAATCTAGATGCGTAGACGGTCGAATTTGTCGAGAAAGGCTAGGGCGGTCTCGTCTTCATCATCCTCCCCCGGTTGGGAAGGATTCGGCCTCGAATCCGAATGGGTCTCGTCTTCCTCCGAGTTGTCCCCCGCAAAGGGAACCAGATGCTTGACGTTAAAAACGTCATGTGTGCGAATATGGGAAGGAAGCCGCAAACGATAAGCATTTGGATTAATCTTCTCAATCACCTCGACCGGTCCTATCTTCCTTGCCGACAACTTGCTGTACTCATGGCTCGTGAATCGGTCCTTAGTCAATACCGCCCAAACATAGTCGCCCACGTCAAATTCCACGTGGCGCCGTCGCAAGTCCGCCCGCCGCTTATATGCGGCCGTCGATGCCTCGAGCTGGTCCCGGGCCCGCGCATGCGTGGCCTGTAAATCGGAAATGAGCTCGGCGGCGCGCCTATCGCCGTCCCCATGCTGAGGCAAAGAGATCAAATCAGAAGGCCCACGGGGACTGACAGCATACACCACCTGAAAAGGAGAAAAACCCGTAGAACGATTGACGGCAGAGTTGTGAGCAAACTCAGCCTGTGCTAACCGCTGATCCCATGTGCGTACATTGTCTCCCACTAAGCAACGCAGCAGATTACCCAATGAACGGTTAACCACCTCCGTCTGGCCGTCAGTCTGCGGGTGATATGCGCTGCTGAAATCGAGCCGGGTATTGGCCATACGCCACAAGCTTCTCCAGAAATGGCTCAAAAAACGCGTATCACGATCGGACACAATCGAAGAAGGCAACCCATGCAAGCGATAAACCTCACGGAAGAAGAGGAGAGCCACGTGAACAGCATCCGAAGTCCGCTTGCACGGAATGAAATGGACCATCTTCGAGAAGCGATCCACTACGACAAAAATAGAATCCACCTGACGCTGTGTGCGTGGTAACCCCAAGACGAAATCCATGCTGATAGAATGCCAAGGGCGGGACGGGATCGGAAGCGGTCTATATAACCCAGCATTATTCGCCACACCCTTGGACACCTGGCACACCCGACAACGAGCCACATAACGAGAGACATCACGGCGAAGACTAGGCCAAAAATACGAGCGGCTCACCAGCTCGACCGAACGATCCCGGCCCACATGGCCCGCGCCATGGAGGTCGCCAATGAGCTTCAGCCGAAGGCTGACATCAGGAATGCACAAACGAACTCCACGAAAAAGGAACCCATCTGACAAAGTGTAGTCCGGAATGGGACCGTCGCGCAAGGAACGAAGAATCGGGCC